ACTAGAGCAATATGGTGTCATTGATTCAATACTCTAATCTATTACAGACCGCAAACTGCAGTACACTTTAAACTACTTCTACAGATGAATGATAGGTCTGTCTGACATATAGGTTCACGATGGTGGCAGTCTTCTGTATTTTAAATATGTATGTCATGGGGAAATTTATGATGGAGACGTGATAATTTTTAACACCAAGAACATTGGAAATAATAATTAATCATCTAGGTGCCGTTGTCGGAACAAAGACCGATGTAAAGTCGTTTCCCATGACGTGCATAGCCAGATATGATGATGGAAAGTCTGCAGTTTGTTAAATATCAATGTTTTTTAATATAAGAAATACAAAGGAACTACGCTCAAAGTTACAGCAAGTGCGATGGTGAAGTTGCGGATATACGTCTGCATTGTAAATGCCAAGTATTCCTTAGAAAGAACTCGAGTCACGGAACGAGAGTTTTCTGTTTGAAAATATAATGTAGAATTTAAAAATACGGCAACGTAAGTTTTTGTGATGGCAAATGTTGAACCACGCAATGCGATAATTTAAAAGTACGTAGTGTTCTGTATTGAGGACGAAGAGTTCTTATACTTATTACTAGTTCTGCTCACAATATGATTCGCGTGCACAAAAATAATTATAAAATTAAAGCCATCTATCGTTAACTAGAAAGAACTACACTATTTTATATTTAATTGTTTAAAAATAATATCTATTAAACCATATATCTAATTATCTCCTAATCACAAGTAGTGCAGTCATTTTTATAAAAGAATGAAAATGATATAATTATAAGACAGTCATAACTAACAAAAAATAAAAACTCAGTAAAAGTAAATTTTCATGGACTATTACTTTCGCTTTGGAACGACAGATACTGTGTATTTATCAATAAAATAAAATAAGTTTTGACTTTGTTAAATATTAAGTTAATGAAATAATTACGTAGTTAAAGGTTTTTGTACCGAATTTTACACCTTGAACTTACGGTATTCAATGTTCAACTCGGTCTGTTCGTTGTCTGACGTTGATTGTTTACATCAATTTGGTGTATTGACCTTAAGAACGAGGAAACATCTAAAATTGTATTGTGTAAATCCATCTCAACTATTTCAACATACATTACCATAATGACCATAAGTACGTGCTATTATTATAGTTTTTGTACTAAATAGCACTATTGCAATGAATCATCCACACTTTAGTTTAGTATTTTTTGTTCCTGTCGATGATTGTTATACATAACTACTCTATGTATGAGGTCAATATTTTTTTATATATCATATTGAGATTAAAATTACGTATACTGTATTAAGGAAAACTTTTAATTCAATACAAATTAGTAATATGAACGACGTGGTATGTGTATTATGTTTCGATAGGTAGTAATTTATGTATTAAACACCTTGGATGTACCTTGCAAATATTGAGTGCTATATAGTATAACATATATAGAAAAAATTAACCTTAATTATACAAGACAAGCAGAGTAACATTTAGTTTTCGGTGTTAATGGTTAAATGTCTTTCAAGTTGTTTGACTGTTTAATGATGCGACTTGTTTAAAATGCTTCTAGCATGTAATTAAATTTCATGGTTATGAAACGCTATGAAGACCTTATATCTTCTTCGATGCCTCCTTCTGGAACAAGAAAAAAAAGGACGGGCACTTAATGATGACGTAAAAATACTCATGAAAGTATATAGGCGTTGATTACTACATTCATATGCGAAAACTAAAATAAATAAGAGTATTTATATTTGGACGTTTCCAATTGTGTTGTAAAATATAAAATGAATTATGCAAAAAGTGCAATAAGCCCATTTCAATTGTAAATGTGGATAGTTCGCTGTTGCCACTGCAGCCGGAGATCTCACGATTCCTATTAATTATTCAATATTGTTGAAGGTTGCATGCTTTTTTTAACTTAGTTTCAGTATAATTTAATTGCGGCGCGTTGGAAGATAATATTAAAATTTTATTGTATAATTATTATGAATAAATTAACCTTATTTAACGCAATATAAATATAAGATTCTTTATTTCATTCGATTATTTTTTAAGTTATTAATTTTCAATATAAAATGGCTAATAAAAGATTAATAAAGGAGGCCGTCATCTAGTTCGGAACTAAACATTGCCATTAGAATCATTATTAATTTAATATTGTGTATTTTTTTTTATTATTACAATGCTGACTGTATATGGTAGTTAATACCAATAAAATTTAACATTTAAATAATACACCAGAGATTTATAGATTAAATTTTCAATTCGTCGATATATTTCTTTTTTTAATATGCGTAATATTCTATCCATTTACAACGAACTCTAATTTTGTTACTTGCTATCGTGTCGAAATTTTGTTGTTTGTTTAAATAACAAAAACAGACTGTATTTCTTACGAATTTGCTCTAATTTACATTGTATTTAAATATAGTAATTAGTTCCACAGGCTGAGAACAAATTAAAGCAAATTACACTACGCTTTGCATGAACGCTGACGATTTGTTTTATCGTATTAATCTTATATATTATTACTTTATTTATACATTCCAAAAAAGTACTATTATTTGTAATGACTGTATTTATTACATTGATTTAGATAGGTGCAATCATAAGAGTTTGATTTTACCCATTGAGGCACTATATGACTAAAAAGAACCATAATCAACATATATAACAAAAGTTGTTTTTTAAAGAGACCTAAATATGAAATAGGTATAATAATTTCAATATACTACATATATTACAGCATTCATTTAGTTATGCAAATTAAATATGCTGAACAAGATAAAGGTTAAAATCCCGACAGTAAAAATTTGTTATTAACAGTTTTTGACATGCGGCGTTGTAATCAATAGCGTTTTCACAAATTAAACGAATTAAGCGACATCTTATTAATTAAATCATGTCATTGAAGCCTATTAATACGCACTGGAAAACAATATTCCATCCTTCAGAAGTTGAGCAGTTGTTTATTTTTAAAATAATTTATATTCCATTGGGGATCACAATACAAAGTAGAAGGTAGGTCATCGGCCTGCGTTGGACGTAGTCTCACGGTTACCATTTTATAGAGCCGTGCAATCACATAGTTTTATAAATATTTTCGCATTTTATGTTAACCAGTTTTACAACAACTCGAGTTCCCAGACGAGATTGTGTGCGTTCATTTATAACATTACAAATAACCTTCGCTGTCAATATGTAGGTACGTCAGATGATATCATAAGTTACAAAAATTGGCAGTTTCTTCACAGACTGCTAAAATATTGCCGGCAGATATCTCTTTTCCGCCCCCTCATCGCATCGGCTCGTTTTATTGGGAGACCAAACGTAAATCGGGCAGATGGTCTTATCGGTTTATAAAAAAAAGTGAAATGATACCCTTCGGAGTATCGGCAAATTAGCTCGCTTTATCTTCCTTCATAAGCCCACCCCTCGTTTTTTTACTGTAGAAGCATATCTTTAATAATTTTTCGCTCGGTGAAGTGATTGGTTTATTATCCTAACTTATTTCTTTCCTGGAACAACGGTTCACCTACTTTTGAACTAAAATAGAATGTTTTATTAATTATCACAACGTACTAAATACAGTGTCTGTCAATGCCTTTTTTAGTAAATTAGCAATAACATTGTATAGAATCTTAGGATACGCAATCTGATCTGATCGTCAACTCTGAATAGATTATGATGGTTTCATTAAAATTAAATGAATACATTAAAAGTAATTTTTGTCTTGTTAATCTTTATACGCGTCATTATACCTACTTATTTATAGATTGAAGCCAATGTACTTTTCTGTTCCAGATGTCTAAGAATAACACAGTTGTAAGTAAAGTACGATATTAAAACCGAATATAACAATGTAAAATATCCCTTATACAATATGGTTACCATCCGTGAGAATTCAGATGATGAACATTAAAATAACACAGTCGTTTAAATTGCAGCTTTAATTTTAACGACTCGGTACAAGGTTTTGGTAACTTAAAGCTTATAATCTGAATACTTGGCGGTTCGCTGTCGTCTGCGCTACGACCGATGTGGCTGTATTTAATTAAAATTGTTCTCGAAATCATACCGACTCTGAGAAATAAGTAAAGTTTTATGAAAATGTATAATTTCAGAAAATGTAGCCGTATTGTATTAAAAATAAGTTACTTATTACATATGAAATTAATTGTGAAAGATATTAAAGAAAGACCTATAGTGAGTGTAAGGATAGATTCGAGTCATATTAAAACGATTTCCGTGTAGCGAAGGAGTAAGAACACAATTCGTAGACACGCTTTTTATGGTATGGATGTAAGAGACGACTAAGGGATGGATTGGCCATATGCATCGGTGCAGCACAAGGAATACTCAAAATAAAATCCAATAAAGAGATTACCGTGGATACAGTGGTATTAGTAGACTAAATCCCGATAAACATAGACAGTTTTGGAACCAGTATTGTGGGACGATTATAGTTTCTAATGTCGTTGCTGACATACCATTAATGTGAAAATTTGACGATCAATTAATTAATTTTTTCAAACTATAAATCATAAAATATTATTGAAATCTCTGTCCCGTCATCTTAAAAGTTATCGCGGCATGTCACGTTTACAGAAAGAAGTAAGATTCATGATACCAGTTTTATGAAGAAATTTCGCTGATACGAAACTATATTCATTTAGTAAAACTAAAAGTTTGCTCTTGAAGTAGATGAAAATTTATATCTTGAAACTAGTTTCATAATGTAAATTAATGTGAATGGAATTAGGCATTACTTATATTATGCTGTCGAAATTTATGGCATGAGCCATCTTCGACTATAGACGAAATATCGTGCTTCAGTCTTGTTTATGTGAAATTTGAAGCCGTAAAGATCTTATCAAATTTATTGCTTGTATCTTGGTTTCTGATTTACTCCTTACATCTATCAGGTTTAGGGGATCGGATTCATTCTAATAAGACACAAAATTTGAACAGAATTAACTGTTTGTTCCAGATTACGAGAAGCTGCCAAATCTACATAATCTCAATACTTTATAAGTAAGTGATTCGGATTTATATCTATAAGTAAGTGGATAAAAGTTAGATAAGATAAATATTATTTATCTTATCTAACTTTTATCCAGTTACTAATAATAAGTTAATATACAATTTTGAAATAAGAAATATAAGATCAACATAGTTTTTAATATAGTAGGACATATTAATTCACCATTATTACTGGTACGTCATTGTATCTTAGATAAAATAATTATGTAGATAAATTAAGTACTGAAAAATCAGTCGATTGCGAAGTATTGGGGCCTTATAATTTAAAAAATCGAAAGCTATGAAATGAATTTAAAAATAATAATGGTACCTCTAAACTAAATCTGTGAAGTTTTTGTACATAAAAAGTATCATTGTTACACATGTAGACGTAATGTAGAAAAAACTCATAAATTATGCATAAGAAAGGTATGTAATACCAAAAATTTAGGTTAAGACGAAGTAGTAATAACATGAAATCCGGGTCAGTATGAGGTCATATTCCACCCTTCTATAGCCGTGTCTCAGCGGGTACTGTGCAGTTTTATTAAATTTCACTATAAAAAGAACTTAATATTTTTAGACTATTATGAAATAGTCCAAAAATATTAAGTTCCTCTACACTATAGAGTGTACATTTAATAATGTATACTTTTTGTCTGTATTCAGACAAGTTCATTTAAATTTAGCTGAGAAAATCCAGTGTCTAATGTATTCCATCGTTTATCTCTTTCTGTTTTACTTACAAACATCTTTTATTGCTTTCCACGTCGTATGCTTATTTCGAATACTGTCTAATTGTTACCTATAATTAGGATGTTTTTGATCATGATAGTCTAAACTAGTCTATTCAATAGAATACTTCCCATCTTAGTAGATCAAAGGAAATTAAATAATTACAGTGTAACTAAATTATACTCAATCTAGATATGTTAGGTATATTCCGCTTGTCACATCTTTTAATGCCTTGAGGACAAAGGAGATCTCATTATTAAGTATTGTAACATAATGCTATTATTATACTATTTAACACAATCCAAATATAATATGAAATCTGCTACATCATTGTAATAAAAATGTTTACCAATTTTGTTAATTATGTTAAAACAAGAAACAAGTATGTTTACAAATACAAATTACACATTATCACTATAAACATATTATCGTACATGTCTACTTCACACGAATAGTCCATTACTGTCCTTTAATATTAAGTGCTTTACATAATTCAGGGGTCGAGTAACTTGTACTAATTCTACGGGCGTCCCAAAAGTTGCTACTTTGGCCTACAAATAGCGGCGTTGGCTTGAAAAATGGTTACGGAGCTAGCTCCCGATAATGTACGTAGCAGAACAATCCATCAGGCCCTCAGAAACCCTCCACGGCCCTAGAGAAATGCGCCGAACAATATTTCTAGCCGGTCGTGTTAAAAAGAAGAAATATTGCGTATTGTATTATGTGACGATTAAATTTATAATTAAATGTCGATTAATACACTAGGTTACAGCTGTTGCTTCGTCTGATTTTTATGAGATAAAAAGTATGCGCGTACTTATGATGTAATATATCTTCCTGTCAAATTCAATAGGATCCGTTCAGTCATTTAGTCGTGAAATGTAACAAAGAGAGAGATAGCATTTTCGAATTTTTATATTTGTAGTGATTACCAGCTACTTAATTTAATTTAAAATATTATCTCACTCAATTCAAACTTTAATTTGTATTTTAATTTGATTGCACAAGTTATCTACTTGAGTACAATTATGTCTATTTTAGTAAAAGTCATTAGTTTGTTCAACTACCTACATTAAAATGTCCAACGAATGATCGCGTCACACTGTACTCGCGGTGACTTTTATATACGTATTGACCAATACTATTGAACATCGTTTAAACTAATTTACCATTGGATTGAACGTAGATATTTGGGTGTTTTACCTATTTAATATTTTTGGATTCTTGTTTTAGTTTTAATAAGATGATATCATGGAAAATATTTATTTGCACTAACGAAATAAGTAAGCCATGTTCCAAGATGATACGAGAGAAATAAGCCAATAACCAAGATTATATATAGGTACCACTAGTTGTTACTCATCCTTACAAACTATTATGTCATATTTCACACCCTTACAGGTTTTTTGGGATAACACAGTATATATCCCTGATAGAGTCTATATTCATGTTAATTTCAATGGGTTACATCCAACAGTTTAGTCTTCTAAATGTAACAAACGAATAGACACACATTCGCAATTATAACATTAGCATCGATGTTGAGAAACATTGTAGTTGATGTGTATTTATATCTTTATTGTTCACTTATTCTCGTATATTGTTTACGAATCTAGAACATCACTCGACCGCTATTATTCATAAAATTTTCATTACATGTATCCGTGTACCAGCGCCGATCGATAAGTGCAACTTAGTTACGATTGATTTTAATATCCGTACAAATTACTTAGTCTAAGATATGACGTAAGAAATATCTGTATTTGTTATCAATCAATGAATAAATCCTGGCCAAAAAACAATTGAATTAAATAATACGCGTATGGAACAATTGTGTGTTTTACATCCACTAGTTTTTATTTTACTTTGATCGACTCAGATATACAACAATTTTGTATTAAAAGTATTCATTGACATTATGAATTTATTTGTAAAATATCAATGATGATATTTTTAAACATAAACCAATAAAAACTACAAAGGAGTAGAAATTTACTAAGAAAACTTAATTACATATCTAACAAACTTCCATCACATAATTCACAATGTTTCGTTTAAATATTTAAATAAAGGAATGTTTCTGCCAGTTTCCAATTCTGAAAACTCTTGTATCTTTATTTGCCTCTAAAATTCAGTGAGTTTATATTCAAGCAAAGCAAATGCAAATGTGAATCCGAACGGATATATTCGCGAAGAACAAATACCAACTGAATTGGCGATGTCTTAAAATCCTTAGTGAATTTAAGTTAAAAGAATACAGCCAAATATTGACATGTCGAGGGGATTTCCAGAATCCATCTTTAAACAAAGTCTTATTTTATCGTTTCTATTTATGTCTTTCAGTTCTAAAAGAGAATAATCTATTATTTTCCGTATATTTTTGTTTTGTCTGTCGCTTGTATTTATAGACGGTATTGTAGATATTAGTTTGGGTTTAGCAGCCACTAAAGCCACCAAAAAAAGCTACCTACCTTTCTTTGTACATGAATAAATTTATCAGAATATGTACGGTCTTCAATAGTTTCAACCTTTAAATGGTATCTTTGATTCGTTCATATTTATTATCCAAGAAAATTCTTTAGAAGCATGATGTATGCTTAAGAAAGCATACATCATGCTTCTAAAGAACTTTCTTTTTTCAGTCAGGGAGGACAGTGATCAATTGTAAAAGACGTAATCTATTTTATCGTAAATTTAAAGATATGTCATTAACCATGCAAACATTACTGTATTCAATGTTGGGTATGAAAGTTAAGTGTATAGTATTGACATAGAGATAAAAAACCTCAATATCTCTAAGAGGGATACCGCAAAGCAATTACCTCTATCGCCCAAGGCAAGACACAGAAGCGGAAAATGATCTACGTAATGGGTACACTACAAACATAATTGTTATCGTTTATCTAAATATCTACGTGACATAAATCAGATGGCATGATTGTTCATAAGTAATTGAATTGCTTACTCCCAATCAATAATATTACTCTCAAAATTATTACTTAAATGACAAACGAGCATAGCGTCACTTACTATTTATTGAACCTCTATAAAACTTGCTGGTTTCATTCTTTTGTTTTTTTTCCTTGCAACTTATATATATGTCTAGATACCTTATTTACAATGACCTATGTCTAAATATCCGTAATATAGGATATTATATATGATACGATATTACATAGTACAAAACTGTATACTGACAAAAATAGTAAGGAGAAAGTGGAACTTATCAAATCTGGTTAACTTAATCATATCTTGATGGACTTGGATGTTTCGACTCCAATTTCACACACTACCAGCAGTTTTATTTAATTAGAACGCACTGGACACATGAATTTACAGTTTTTCATTTAAAATATGAGCGATGTCAATCTCAGATACTGACGGTAACTGTAGTATTACCGCATTTTCAGGGTTCACACGTTCGCATACCTGATATTGTTTGGCGGAAAATACGAATTTGGAGCTGTTGAGTGAATGAAATAAATTGTTACGATTAATACAAAAATACGAGGATTGGGAAAGGATGTTAGAACAGTTATTTTTAATCAAATCAAACTGATAATTATTGCAAAGTAATTAATTCGTATATTCCGCTCATGTATATTTTGTTTTTGTTTTACTTTTTGTCGCTATTACTAAACTTTGTAGAGGGTTAAAGTGATAACTTTAATATTGCAGTCATAATTTTGAATATATTCACGTATCCAGCAAGCGAGAAGTTTATGTTGTTGGCAACACCCACGATTTATGACATTGTAATTTACTTACACTTCACTATTAAACCTACTAGTATGTATAGGTACAAAATTTGTTAACCATTTAATGGCTCTGAAATCCAGCTTACAGCTGATCATAGTGGTAACCGTCGCTTATATACATGTATCACGTTATCATGTGAAGCCGTGATACTATTCATGCGTTGCCATTTTGTTTCGGACGATTAAATGTTATGTCCCTTAACCTGTAATTTCACTACGATATGCTCACTTTCCAACCAAAATACAGCTTATAAAGTAAGCTACCTTGTGGCTGAATCATTTGAGACTGAATGAAAGAGTGATGATTAAATGATGAAATGAGTGACTTCTTTCTTTGAAAATTCATATTTAGTTTTCTACTTATTAATTAAAATCGGTTTACTCATAACTCAACAAGTGATATGGGAGATATGATACAAGTTATATTGTCATTTCAGTAGTTATTATTATATTCTATATTTACATGACTTAATCATATTTTACGTTCCATCTATCGACGTATTATTGTAGCTTCTATTAGTAACGAATTGTCAAATATATATTCTTACTAAGAAAATATTAGGAACATTCTATTGTATTTTTTATAAAATCTCTTATGTATCGAAATCATTGACGTACATATAATTCCGATTTACAACTCCAGTTGTACTCGTTTTTTATTCTATAGTTTTCTAAATGACCTATGTTTTTTATTCACAGATTTCAAGTATCGAAACATGGACGAGAAATGCTTAGAGCAGAACCAGAAATGAAACAGAGGACTAGAAAAAAAGTTGCAAAGTATTGGCAAGAAAGTGCGAGATTGTAGCCAAAACGGTCACCAAAGACATGTGAAGTACATTAGAAGATATAGAGAAACTTTCATATCCAATAAAGCATATCTCCTTGAAGTTTGGAACATATCTCGTTATTTTATACTAGTCACCTTTTGTGATTATAGATAGTAAAATCGTATTGCTCAAATTCAAAATATTCAATTTAGTTCTTTTAAATTTTTAAATGACGAGCCCGTCTTTTTAATCCAATCGGCAGAAAGATAACAGAGATTTGAGATGAAATATTTTACCATGTTCTTCTTGAGAAGACGAACATTAATTCTCAAGGCTGTTTTAATACTAACAGCATTATGGTTTATGGTAGCGTTACTGACTACAAATGGAGGCTCGAGAAATTCTATTGTAGCTCCTGCAGTGGAATATGATGATGCTGAGGCAAAACCACTGAAAATAGCCAAACCCACTTCAGTTAAAAGAAAAAGCGAGTCATATGGGAATAATCTATCTGATGGTAAGTTTATTATTTTGTTAAAAAGCATGCCGTTCTATAATTCTTTTATTTAAAGATGCTGTAAATAAACTTAATAAATCTAATTTATAACATAATAACAAAATATAGATAACTTTACATTATTGATACACGCTAATAAGCACACAAAGATTTTACCGTCCAAAGTTTTTTATAATTAATAAAAATGTTATCATATTCATATCTTATAAAGTGAATAGATAATTTTTTTACTTATTCTCATTTCATAAAGTATTTCAAGAATATATTCTCCATTCCAAATAGTTATTATAAATAATAATATTTATGTGAAAGTAGTTAACATATAAAAAAACGTACAATGTTTAATGTTTAAAATGTATTAGTTGAATTATTTTGTCTGCATGTTAGCCTTTCTTTTATTCGTTGCTTTTATTTTAACATTATGCATGATAACATAATGTAACTTTGTCCATCACAGCACAGACACGTGTCAATTGGATTGGTCGTCTTATGGGAGATGAAGGTAATTTTTGATGCTTTATTTGTTAATTTTATGCTTTTTATGGTATGTGCTGGTATATACATATTAGTGTGTGTCTTGTAACTGTACAGTTTTAGTATATATATTTGCCTGGAATTGGTTGTGGGAAATGACGCATGTTTTTTTTTATTTATGTACAATTTTGTAAATTCAATTTATTAAATACTGTTTTTATGATTATTATTTGGAGCAATTATGTCTCCTATTGCATCGACTCTTAATGATATATAAATATCTCATAAACAATTTACAAGGAATCGTCAAGGATATCCAGTGCCTATAATAGTTTGTCTATTTGTAGGACTGGGTGTTATAGCTGCCCCTGGCTCGGACAACGCTCCCGGTGAACTTGGCAAACCGGTTGTACTGCCCAAGAATATCAGCGAGGATACAAAATTAGCAGTTTCCGAAGGATGGAAAAAGAATGCATTCAATCAGTATGTCAGTGATCTCATATCGATCAGAAGGAAGCTACCAGATCCAAGGGATGAATGGTAAAGCTGCTTTTGGTTTCTTGATAATTCTTAAGTAAAAGAACGTAGAGTCGATTATTTCAAGTCGTTTTATTAAAGTTTCATATATCCTAAACAAGGAATAAAGGTATAAAATATTAATATTTTTTTTTTATTAAAATGTTAAATATACTTCATTGGATAGAATATGGATTTTAATATATCAGCTATAAATCTATGTATACCTAACTGAAGTTTTAAAATTTTGCAGTGTAATATTTAGTATATTTTATTATCTAATATAAGCATTGTTGATACTAAGGTAATTCATACAATATAGATTAATATATTTTATCCAGTGTATTCGACAGTCAGTCGCGGGTTCGATTTCTCGCACGATGCAAACATTTGTATTCATGAGTATATATTTGTCTGGGTATTCATTTTTTTGTAAGCACATATAGTGCTTACAAAAAAATGTATCTAAGTCTAATATCCATAAGACAAGTTCTTCTAAGCTTGGAACATATACATATTTATTATACATATCACCTGATAATGTGTAGGTACGAAACGCAAACGAAAAAGAATAATAAATGTAAGTAACCAAGAATAGGTTTATGACTTTTACAATTGACTCTTAATCGACAGGTGCAAACAACCAGGTCGCTACCTAGAAGACCTTCCTCAGACGTCTGTAGTCATATGTTTCCATAATGAAGCGTGGTCAGTTCTACTCAGAACTGTACATTCTGTGTTGGATCGATCACCGCCACATTTAATAAAGGAAATTGTTCTCGTCGACGATTTTTCTGATATGCGTAAGTATTTGAAAGTAGTTGTAGTAGATGTTATCGTCTTTCTGCCATTCGTTCGTTACACCTGAAGTTGGTTTAGTCAGGAACAATATGTGAATAGTAAAAAATATATGTCACCATTCCAATGAATAATTTAACAACATACTCATACCTACTTCTGTTTATTATTCTAACGTTATTGTTCTTGAAAATAGTTTTAGTTAATATAAAAAAAAAACAATTTCTTGCGATAATAATGTTATGTACGATTGTGTGTTTTGTGAATAAGTTTCGAAAATAATGTTCAATACTCGATCTACAGGCTTTAATTTTCTAGAAATCAAGATAAATTTTGTACAGTTTACGAATGTAAACCTACTGTAGAATGTATTGTTCAAAACATGTAACAACTAAGCAATGTACAAAATAATAAGGCGATTTAATAATTAGAAACTTTTTTTGGTTATAATGGAATGAAAACTCACAAATCATTTATCGAATAATACTGGTAATATAACTACATATAGCTGCAAAGTCGTTCGACTGCTATCTATAGATCTCTAGTACAGTTGTAGTCATAAGAAACTGGACCAGTCAGCCATTAACTAATGATATTAATGCTTGTTTCTTATTTTCAGCACATTTAATGCAACAACTAGATGACTACATGTCCTCACTTCCTAAAGTTAGGATAGTACGAGCACCTCGTCGCGAGGGTCTCATAAGAGCTAGATTACTCGGTGCTCGATACGTCACTGCTCCAGTGTTGACGTATTTAGATAGCCATTGCGAATGTACAGAAGGTAAATATAATAATATCAGGATGGACTATCTTATTGTTAAAGGCCTTGAATATACCATAGAACTTTTAGCTATTTACTTCCTTTTTTTACATTATATTGTTACCAAAAAATAAACATTCCAATGAAAGTCTCCAAAATCCAATCAAGCTTTGATTAGTATAATGTGACCAGAAGCACAGTTTATACAAAGTCGTCTATGTGCATATATCGTATCTATTTTGCTCAGTAGCAATATGATATGTCCGGATTATTTTGGAAGCCGTGTTGCTGATCTTACCAAAAATTACTGTTAACACGTTATATGAATTTTCTATTGATATCAGCTCCTTACAATAAATAAATAACATACCTAATTTTCATAAAAGAAAATGTTAGTCTAATTTATTATTTTCTAATTTAAATTTTAGGTTGGTTAGAACCATTATTGGATAGAATAGCTCGTAATAAAACAACAGTAGTATGCCCTGTTATTGACGTTATTGACGATAATACTCTTGAGTACCACTACAGAGACTCATCCTCTGTTAACGTTGGTGGATTTGATTGGAATCTACAATTCAATTGGCATCCAGTACCAGCTAGAGAGCGTGCTAGACATCATCATACAGCGGAACCAGTGTGGTCTCCAACAATGGCTGGAGGACTTTTTGCTATTGATAAAGAATTTTTTGAAAGACTGGGAACATACGACAGCGGTTTTGATATATGGGGTGGCGAAAACCTAGAACTCTCGTTCAAGACTTGGATGTGCGGCGGTACATTAGAGATTGTTCCATGCTCTCATGTAGGTCACATATTTAGGAAACGATCACCTTATAAATGGCGCACGGGCGTCAATGTGCTAAAGAAGAATTCAGTTCGTCTTGCTGAGGTAAGGGTTTTTTCATCTTTGTATAAGGTATTAGTAATTTAAAATAAAGTAAAAAAGCATTATGCATGCCATTTTAATTGTATTTACTTAACGATGCAAAAAAAGTTCATTAGAAATTAAAGTTCATTAGTAATTTTGAATATTGTTCACAATAAATAATCCTTTGTATCTTTGATCTTTTATGTATGTATTATTTATCTTATTGGATTTAAGGTATGGCTAGACGACTACGCTAAGTACTACTATCAGCGCGTTGGCAACGATAAAGGAGATTACGGCGATATTACAAGCAGGACTTTGTTAAGAGAAAAACTCGGCTGCAAATCCTTTGAATGGTACTTGAAGAATATTTACCCTGAGCTGTTTATTCCTGGAGAATCCGTTGCCCACGGCGAGGTTCGTATACACATATATTATTTGGCTTTATACATATCTAAAACTATCCTTGATTTATATTAAGATTAGTATTTTGCTATACTACTATAATTAAATTATATTCATTAAAAATATTATCTTATTAAAATGAGTGCAAATTAATTACGTGTCTTTCAAAATTGTTACTTGTACAGATACGAAATGTTGGCTTCCAAAAGTTATGTTTGGACTCGCCGACACGCAAGTCAGATCACCATAAGCCCGTCGGTCTTTACCCGTGTCATCGGCAGGGAGGAAATCAGGTCTTTATGTCGTTTACAGTTCGACCAAGTGCGGCAGTACCATTTTGTTGGAGTTGTTTTTACATTGTGTCCAATTTTACTTGCACTCTTCTATGCACTTTATCTAGATGCACGAGCACTAAAATCACTATTATTTGTAATGATCATCATTAGGTACGAAATGAAGCGTTTGGTAGACGTTACTGCCTAGATGGCGTAACGGAAGAAGATGGTCAGGAAGAAATACCAGTAATGTACCACAAATGCCACCGAAGTGGTGGCAATCAGGTACCTCCAACAACATTAGTGTGGAGTGATAAACTTGTGTGTTAGAGGTGTTATAAGGGTGTCAATATTTTTCTATTTCATTTGAGATGACCTAGTGTCTAACTTACCCAATTTGTTTTATTATATTTTTTTTTCATTATCATTATCATATTTAGCATGATCATTTGATTTGTTAATGTTTTGAGGTCTAAATTCTAATACAATGTCAAATGATGATGCTAATTCAGCACGCTTGCTTTTGGCACACCTATATAACTTATCAATGGCATCAGATCGCGAATTCCTGGTCGAAAATGTGCCTGGACTCGGCTGCGGGTCCCGACGACATGAGAAAATCTGTCAACGTCTGGCCATGTCACGGAGAGTACGGGAATCAGGTTTGTCGTCGCCATCATTTCCTTACATTTCATCGCTTATGCTTTCATCTAGTAGTTGGTTGATGGTGTTCATCGATGTTACGGTAAGTTGGGTGATTATTGTAGATCTTTAATTAATTATACAAATAATGCCATTAGTCTATTATCATTTATCTCTGTCACTAATCCTAAAAACAATTGCGATTTGTACTTCTAATATAACTTGGCCTTTTATTACTTAGCATGTATTGTATACGATTGCTACTACTAATGTAATTCGTGACAATAAAAATAAATACGTTTTATATGTCTGAGACTTATTGTCAGTGTAACGGGTATTTTATTTATTATTTTGTGAGATTTTTTCATTACTCTTTCAATTTTGGTACTGCCGCTAGGTGTTTATTATAATATTAATAATTAGTCTATTAACAAATTTCATACTTTTGTATATAGTTATCTGTATAAATTACTATTTTTAGTATTTAGTTTTATGTTGACCTTATATTGTCTGTACTTTTAAAAATGGTTGTGGGTAATTTTTATGTAATTTTTAATATTATTTTAAAATCCTTATCATGGATTATGGATGGATATCAGAATTTGTTTATATGCATATGTGAGATCATCTTAGGTCAAATATCAAAACTTTATCTATTATTGAATATTTTTGGTAAATAATTGATTACAGCAATGATTTTATATTTTATAATAAATACAATGTCAGTAGACAAAATAACCGACCAATAATGAAAACACATTAGTAACCATATGCTTATGGATACAAAATCTGATATAACATTTAAAGTTAAAGATTAAATAATAATATATATTTCATGTGTTTACAGTATTGGATGTACTCCAAAAATGGTGAAATACGGCGAGACGAGACTTGTCTTGATTATTCGGGACATGATGTTGTCTTATATCCTTGCCACGGCGCTAAAGGCAATCAGCTCTGGCTTTATGATCCTAATGTAAGCTTTACATCAATATATTTTTATGTTACATTCTACATATCTTTTACTAGTAACTAAACTTTAACCAAAATTTGTAACTCTTGTCTCATGTCTATAATTCTTATTAGTATTTTTCGTATATTATTTACTGAACTAATTAAAGGTAAAAATTGATGGAGTATAATTAATCTTTTATAATCATTACTGTAGATAATAGTAGAATTTTCTATGACCAATAGTATGAATTCATATTCTATTTAGAATTATATAAAAACATTACAATATGACCCTAGAATGAAAAATAAGGGTCCGATAACTATTTATGAGAGCATAAAAAATGTCAGATGACATATGTAGTAAACTCCTTGAGTATAGTGTTATATTTGTCTGTGAGTAACAATAACTACTTTTAATAGTACATTACTTGCTTGCTTGAAACTGTCTGCATTAGGAAATATAATAATACCTTATATTGGAAATTTTAATTTCTAATTATGTTATTCCTTTTACAGACAAAGTTACTAAAACACGGATCCAGTGAAAAGTGTATGGCGATCTCGCGCAACAAAGATAAAATTGTGATGGAGACGTGCAATGATGCAGAAAACAGGCAAATGTGGAACATGGAGAACTTCAACCCTGATAGACTTACACCAGAACTTATAGCCGAGTAGCCAGAGGCCTACGATGAAGTTTTATTCATATAAGAGCAAGGGACTCATTTGAAATTTGACTGTGTGTTATAAATCACTCGTTTTCGACTGCAATGTGTGTTTTGCAATTGTGTATAGTGACAATTGACGGAGCATTAGATTTTTCGATTAATTGAGGCCATTTATTTATAGACTTTAAGGCTGTTGATGTACATTGATTTATATATATTGGAATAATTTGAGTTAGCAGCTTGTGTAGTCGAAAGTACTGATCTAGCGATTGTAACATATTGTTCTCACTCGTTAACCCCGTCACAATTTGGCCTAAAGTGTTTAGGGACTGACTATCCTAATTGCTTTATTTTTGCAAATATAGTTCGGCTATATATTTAGTAGTAATATGTGTATTGCATATTTTTTGTTTTCCTTGATTTTAATTTCTTGTTCTTTAGTTTTTCAGTAATAATTTAATTTTGTACATTTATTGCTGCTATCTTGTGCAATTTATTGACAAAGACTTGTATTCTTTTAAAATTGTATTATAAATTAATGTATATGAGAAATTACATTAAGGTTCCATTTTTAACGGTTTTGTTAACAAACTAGTGTCTAGCTTACATATCTTAATGTATTGTAATAGTATTCTGTATGGAGTATTACTGTATCATTAGTTATTAGATAGAATTTTTTGTACATATCTGTCTAAATATATCGTTGAAATATTTAACTGCTATATTTACAATATCTAAATATTGTGTATATTGGTGATGACTTTAGCTAATACGATTTTTTGTGATTTATTTAAAACATTATAGTCATTCGACTTACTTAGTAGAAAATTGTTAATGTAAAATATAATAGATAACTATAAAAATATGTATTGGCTTCATTAAGTGTATATTTTTGTATTACTCGTTACTTCATTTAACGAATTTATAATTTATTTTGTTTTGTTTTATTTTCCTATCAGGAAGCGGAATATTGTTTAATTAATATAAAGCGACTGAATTCTAGAATAACTTATGATGTTTAATAATGTTGCTTGTTTATATGAAATGTGTTAATGTTTGTGACAAAATCACACAATATTATCTTGATTACTAAGCCCGTTAAACTATTCTAGCTCTGCATGAAAATTAATATGCATGAAAATTAATATCGTTCGATAATATTTCTTTTTTAGAATTATCCTAAAATTATAAATCAAATCAGAAACGTAATAAATAAAAAAATAGAGAATAAATTGCTTCCAATCACACAGAATAGATGAGGATTAGAAAAATTTTCCGTTCTTTCGTAGGAACAATTATTATCCCTTAATAATGGTAATTTAGCATTTTTTATTATTATTGTTAATTTGTACTCTATTCCAATCATTACATTCCTATATTTGTGATTTTTATATAGATAGTTACGAAATATAAATATTTATATATGTATATATATTTAATATTCTGAAGCATGACAAAATATTTCTATTAATAAGTTTTTTAGAGTGGTTCATAAAATGTTTTACATTCAGATGATTTTAAATATGAGAATTTTTAATAAAAACATAGAACTAATAAATTTTTGTAACGACGTGATCGTACTAATTTCATTTTATTAAATCTACTACCAGTTTATCTTCCTTTCAACCTTTAATTTTAACGAGAGGTGAGAGTTGGGTTATATGATTGCTGTCCTTCTATACAACTTACATATCAAAGTAGTTTATATAAGTTTTTTGCAGTTTCTAAATAATTCTGAAAACTGAGCTGAAATTCGTAGAAGCGTAAAAAAAATCAATAACTTGATAATCTGTTATTGATTGCTATGTATACCATAAAATATCTTAAAACAGATCTCTGTTATTTACTGAATTACCTCTATTTATTCATACCATAAAATTAAATTACAATGTTTTACGACATAATAAATAAATAAGCGGAGACTAAATAAATAATCGTGAGGTCTACAATCCACTGAGATGTAGCTTCATAAAGCATATATATGTAGGCTTGTTTGTAGCTTCCATAAAAGGTTACGATGCTCTGTCGATATGACTACAATATTCAGTATGCCAATTTTATAAAATATATCCAAACCTGTTACATACTGTGCAATAGGCGTATTTCTTGATACTTTTCTTAACTATATTAAAAAAATCTGTCTCCATTTGAATGTGTTATTAACAAATACCGTTTGTTTAACAAAGCCTACTATCGACGTAATTTAGAACATTTTACAACCTACATGAGCTATACAGCGTGCTTTGAAGCGTATACGAAGCGATATATCCCTGGAAAGTAAGCCTTACTAATCTAGCGAAATGAAAAAGTTTCTAGTACTCTCACGAGATACATAAATTTCATAGAATAAAGAATAAACGACTACAGAAATACGATATAAAAAGTAAAGAAACTGTTAATAATGCGTACATTTTTAATTGTTGAAATTATTTTATTCTTCAGCCATTTAAAGGATTATTAAGTCATCTTTATTAATATTGAAATGACTTGAAATATAACAATAAGTAATGTTAATTTATTATCTTTGACAAGGCTAGTTGACAAATCATAGTAATCACTCAGATAAATTGAATGAAATGTAAGTGTAGATCATTAGGTATATAGTCAGTAATTACTAATGACTACACACTTACATTTTATTATTTCGTCTTTTCTATATAGAATGCGATTATAATTTTGTTAAGTATTAGAAAAAATATTTCATAGTTATCAAAAGAGATTTGTAAGTTTTGTTTCCTCTGTATATAAAGGTATTGGGCGTTCGTGTTTCATAGTAAATAAACTAATTATAATTGCTCCAGACATCGTTTCGTGCTGACTAGTGCGATATTTTCGTTCGTTTCTTTCCTATTTTTTTTTTGCTATTATATTATAATTTTACGAAATCGTATTCTTAAAATAACTCTTTTTTTATGTATTAGTTGAAATAAATAAATGTGAAATTATTATGACTTTTCTTTATTTTATTTAATCATTAATATCATAATATATTTATATATATATATATATAGTTATGCAAGAAAAATATTTTTTTTTTATTTTTCTGTATCCGCACTGTCTCTGTATGTACGAGCATTGTTACTATAAATTAGTATAATATTTGTTGATTCTATCCAAATTTTAGAATTGCACATTTGTATATTGGTTTTATTTTATATATTAGTGTTGTATTAAGCCGATGTCTTGGAGCAACATTTAGTTAAATGATGATTGTATTCATTACGTATTAGAATTAATTAAAGAATATATTGAGAACTGTATAATAGTAGTTCATATCTGTTGAGGTAGGACGTTAAATGTGCCTTATATTTTTAGGTAACTATTATTGAATGTTGAATTTCTGTATATATCGCGGTGTCTCCAATTGTATTATAAAATAGAATAGAATGATTAGATGGCGATAAAATAGTATTTGTAAAATAAAGCATTATGTTGGATTTGTACAATTACTTGTTTCATTTTACATTTATACCTCAAAAACTCAAGAAAACCATAGACACATGTTTAGTTATAATAAAGCAAAAGTTCTATATTATCTATGATTATTGACATAGCGTTACATAGAGATATATGACTTTAACATCCGTCTCACCTAATTCTGCTGATAACAGCTTGCTTTCTAACTGTGTGCTTGTTATTGTATTAAGGGATTTGATAAAGCAGTGATATTGCAGAGTACGGAAGCGGCTCCTCCTGGAATGGCTAAGCTAACGAAAACATTACGTGTAGCATACACGCAATTTTTCATGACGTTCTGTTGCCTCTATGTGTTGTATTGCATGATGTATTCAAGTATATATAGGTTATTGAAACGTAATGGTTATCATTTTTCAATAAACTTCTAACACAATCTTGTTGGCTATCCTAGAATAGATTGACATATTAAATAGTTTTTTATCATCTTCTAATATATATATATTATTATTATATACTATAAAAGAGAAATGACGTTTGTTAGTCTCGGTAAACTTCGAGAACAGCTGGATCGATTTCACTGATTTTGGTTTTGAAATATTTGTAGAACTCCAACGAAAGTTTAATTGGTGAGAAAATATGACGAAATTGCATAGAAAATAGTAAAAACTACAATTTAATTTTCCAATAAAATCTGTTCGAGCCTGTCATCTAGTCAGGGTCTTTCAGAAATTTATTATGTAACTAGGTTTCAAAAAACCTTTGACATAGTATTTAATTTTGAGACGGAATAGAGTTCGCGGGGCCAGCTAGTCAATAATAAAAATCATAGAAAAAATTGTCTAAGAACTACATTTTTGTTGTCTGTAAGAGCTTGTTTTAAGCGATAAGGCAGTCTTTTAGCACAAAGTAAAGTTTTTTTAATGTAATTATTTTTCTGGGTTATTATTACTACATTGTTAAATTATATGTACCTTCATTTCGTACAGTAGGTTAAAATATAGTGGTATGACTCCTAATAATCTTAGATTCGGAATACACAATTTCTGTCAGCTTCATATAGAATAGCTAATAATATCCTAGGGACTTTGAGATATAAATTCAATATTATTTAGTCTGTAAAAATAATTATAATATTGTGTTATTATTTTTCATTTTACCATCCAAATTTATACTTGCAGTATATATTCAAATTTCAAATGAAGTACTCCGAGAGAATATATTAATATCTGTTACTTAAGCAAAATAATCTTAAATAATAAAAATTGATAATTTTGAAATAAATATTAAAATTAAAATTAAATGATATATTAGATCTTCCATATCAACATATTAACTACTCCACGTCACATATGGCGCCAACTACACACTGAGCATTCATTTTTTCTTCTACCGCTCGGACTCTGCTTTTGACATCAGTGACAACCTAAAATCCAACGGTCGTGAACACGTGACCCTCTGTTCTCTAATCCTGCAGATTAAAAGTTCTCAAAACAAACAAAAACCGAATTTCACAGTGTGCAGAGGTTCCGCATTCTTTGTTACATACAATAAAATCGTCTGTATATTAATCATTTACTTGAAAAAAGCTTGAGTATTTCCTTTGTCGATGGATAATTTATTGTTTTCATAAACAATATTTTCTTTACAGTGTAGGTTTTAGAATAAAATAGGCTACAAATATTCGCCTCATAATCACGAAGCACGCAAATATTTTTTTTTCTGATACGTTACAAAATAATAATGAGAAAATTAAGTGTTAAGGGCAATTCGAGCCATTTATATAGTTATATTTTAAACCTATTTAATGGAACCTATCTAATAATTTAGAATTATATATATATTGAATTATGAAATATTTTCTTGGATATGGGGAAACTCTAGTAAACATTTAGCTTAAAGAGAATAAAAATATCCGTTAAAAAGGTGAAATGTGTGAACATTTTTCAATACGCCACCTAATATATTAATTTTTTAATACTAGTTAATTTAATAATAGATGGCGCCGTTATGGATGCGTATTTTATTGTTGTCCTTTGATTGTCATCTATAAAAATCTTAAAGTTAATAGAATGACTAATAATTATGACGATGTAAATAGTGCTTTGCGGCGTCTCCTGCACTGGTTTACAACTAACAATCTTATGTTAAACGCTAAAAAAACAAAATGTGTTAATTTCTCTCTGTCTAAAAGTTTTAATACTAATTGCAACATAAAATTAAATGACGAATCTCTGGAATTTATAGAATCTACTGTCTTTCTAGGAATCACACTAGATAATAAAATACAATGGGGTGCACAAATTCAAACCCTTGCAGCGAAACTAAGTTCAGCAGCTTTTGCCGTGCGTAAGGTTAGACAGTACACTGATACTGATACTGCTAGATTAGTCTATTTTAGTTATTTTCATAGTTTACTTTCTTATGGAATATTACTATGGGGAAAAGCGGCAGATATTAAAAATATATTCATATTACAAAAACGTGCCGTTCGAGCGATCTACTGTATGAAGAGTCGTGACTCATTAAGAGAGAAATTCAAAGAGGCAAATATTCTCACCGTTGCTTCTCAATTTATATATTCAAATATCTTATATGTTCATAAAAATCTTGACTTATTTCCAAAAAAACAGCAATATTCATAATATTAATACTAGATTTAAAGACAAACTTGCTGTCCCCAAGTACCGTTTAGAAAAAGTTAATAGGTAC